AAGATAAGAGGAAACAACATCAGAAATAATAGTAATAAACATAAATACTAATTACATGGTGTCACGATTCGGCAAGCAGGCGAGCGGGGAAGCAGGCGAGTAAGCCGGGAATACTCGAAAGGGGGTTTATTCCGGGCTGACAACAGGCGAACAAGACACAGCATGACAATACACAATGACCGATCTGGGAGACAGTGGGAGACGCGGACTAATATACACAGGACAAGTCAAAAGGAACAGGAAACAGGTGATGACAATCAGGGATTAACACGAGGTAACGAGGTGGGCGTGGCACACATGAAGATCAGACGGAGCTGGGCGTGACACATGGGCCCATGATAAAACACCCTAAAGGAAGTCCCAATATTTCCCTTTATTAGGGTAATTAATAAGCCCAAACACTCCTGCATTTCAAGGCAAAGTCAGACATCTGTATTTCTCCCAAACTTAATACATTTCCCTTACGTGGGAAAGACCAACTTAATTATTGAGGGTGTGGAAGTAAAATTGGACATTAGTAGGCCCGGGAGGGGAGGCATATTGGGTGTGTTATGTCTTAGGCCTTAGGCCAGAAGAGATTGTTTTGAACACTATGTGACCTCGCTTTGTGATAGCTGCCTGCAGTTGGCTCCGCAGAAGCTCGGACCTTGGAGAGGCAGACAGTGGAGCAAAGGGGGGGGGGGAAACCACTTGCAGGAAGAGACTCGAAGCCGCCCCAACTGGTGCACAAAGAGTTATGGCTTATTAAAGTAGTTGTAGTAGTCAATATAATATGTTACGCAATTGATTGCATCATGTTAATCATACTTATGTTAATCATACTAATCATATGTTAACCATGCATTTTCAGTGATTCAGGGACAATACGTCAATGTGTTAATCATTAATCAATGGAACACCCAAACATTAACAGTGATTCAATGTCATATAATTAATATCTATATACATATCTCAAGTAGAGTCTAGAAGCCAAGGCTGTCTCCAGTAAATTGTGTATAATGGGTGGACTTTACCATGCTACCAAGGTGAACCAATGGAACAGGAGAATTGTGTTTGTTATACGTTTCAGCTTAGTTTGTTGATGTTTCATGACCAATCAGGATTTAGTAGTCTTGGGAGCTATGGTTTATCTACTGGGTGCTTTGTGTGCCAGGGGTGACTTGGTACCAAGTGCCAGAGTGTGATGGGAGCGCGTTGCTGAACTTGCTGGAATAAAAGAGATTTTCTTTACTCACCAAACTAAGAGGTCCAGACTTTTATTCTAAATGCTTGATTTATAATTTTTCTACCACAAGGGGTGTTAGCTGGGACAGGGGAATGCACTCCCCCCTCTCCAAAAACATCATCATCATTTTTATTTTATTTCAAACAAACAACAACTAAAAACATTTCCAGATTCTCCATCATAATATCACACCTTTCGATTTCCTTGCTTGAATTGGAGTAGGCAGTATAAACCCTATCCCATTCATACCATATCACTTCAAGATTAACCTCCTTCAAATTACAACAACAGCTGAATAAATGAACCTTGCAACAAAACCAGCAATTCTACCAAATACATATGATATGAGGTGAGCACACCAGGGGGCACAAGGCACCCACTTGGTCGTCGCCTTTCAGCCTATACTAACCTCAGTTTTTGATTTTTGAAACTTTTACTATTACACTGACTAATACTGGAAAATAGTAAAATGCTTCTTTGGTTTTTACAGTCTGTGCTATCCATCCATCCATTTACTTCCGCTTATCCGAGGTCGGGTCGCGGGGGCAGCAGTCTCAGCAGGGAAACCCA